ATTAGATGTCGAAGTAATGGTTATAGAATAAAGGCATTTAGTAGTAACCTGTCACTATAGTAACCAATGCACCAGCTGGTAGAGTGACATGTGAAATAGTCTAAGATTATCTTGTCTTTTGTGTCGAGTATGCAGAGAGATCAGTATTTAGCTATTGTGTAATCCTAGAGATACAATGAAAGCTTTACTCTTTTACAATCATGAACTGCACATAAAAAAGTAATTTTTACCAATGTGAAATAGTCCGATGGGAAATTTGCTTTCATTTTCTTTACGTATACAGCTATTCAAATTATTCTTTGTTCACTCCACACATGCACCTATGGCTATGCTATAGCAATTATTCTAAATACATTAGCCACATTAAAACATTCACGACAATGACGACTTAATGAAAAAGTGGCTTGAAAAAGTCGGGACTGAGTTATAAAGTAACGATGTAATTATTGTAGAAAGTTACCCGCAGTTTACAAACAATATCTATTAGCTAAGTCATTTTTGTACATGCAGGCTACAGTGTTTCAGTATTAGGGCATGCAATTACAGCTACTGAAATAATAAACGTTTAAGCGATTAAATCTTCTTATATGCTTTGTTATATTACAATGGTGGATTATAACTAGGATACAGCGAGGATTATACCGGCCAAAGCATTGATTACACATACAGTTAAATTTTCACGGTTCGGGACACACTTTATTACAATTTTCTCTTATAAAGAGCAACTCAAATTGTCGAGACAGTATTGACATGCCAAAAATTGCAACAACAAAAAAATGCGTAAGCACATAATATAGCTATTTTGTTAACCTTTCTACGGCTATATGAAGGCTAGATATAGGAGATGGTCTTAAGACAGTCAAATAAAGGGGGATTATCTCCAAGTATCCCTATAATGACTATTCGTAATTCGTTAATAAAAACCGACATAAACCGCGCAGCTAATACTGTTTTAATTGTATTCTAATTCAGGTGGTATATACTTGGACTTGTGTATTAGTTTATCATATGAATGTGCGCATGGGTATATTCCAAATAGTATAACACAACTCTCGGATCAGATAAGAATCGAATTCGCTGTAATAATTCCGTACATACATGCACAGTACTGGCGTCACGAACACCTCTCATGGCTTGTGCATCATTTTACTGACATGTGAGGGCAGTACTGCAGTAGATACTTAACTTGGTTATATTTCGTGAACAATCGATAACCCTGAGAAGGTAAGGTGAGCGCTTGCACGCCTTTTACCGCGTTTAAACTATAGATTTACGTAAAAAAACGCATGTATTACATTTTTATCTTCTCCGCATGAGATAGCCAGTGCCGCGTATATACATGCAAGCGTAAATAAGCGTATGCATGTGTCCTCTCGCGGGAACCCGCGACTTTGGATCAGAACTGCGGCGATGCAATTTTCCCTTTCGTAAACGGATGTTGCCAATTGAGCGGTCGTTGCTATATTTTCTAGAACGGTCGATCCCTTTCGAAATTATCGTTGCCATGTTACACAATATCCGAAGTCATTTTAAAACGTGGCAACGACCATTTTCATCAACCGTTGTAAAAAAAAGCAACGACTGTTTCAAATGGCAACATCTGTTTACGAAAGGGAAAATTGCTGCGGCGATGAACTGGAACTCTGACTTGCGTTTGTTCTTTTCATATATCTTGCATGGTGGTATTTGATTTGTGCAAGACTCTTTGAGTAAGGAAAGTTTGACCGGCCGTTCCTGTTGCATTCCAGTACAGACAGATTACTTGTATTTTAGAGTTTTTCAAAAACTCAGCTTTCAAGTGTATCGTTATTTATATCTGTCTAGCACGGAAAATGAAGTTTCCTGATTTTGACCGGTTTGACCATTTTGGACGGTCAAAGCAAAGCGCCCCCTGTTTCCAAACACCTTTCTTCTCATGCATGTGCCACGGTCGACGTCGATTGTTAATTTACAAATTAACAGCTATAATGATCTCAAGTGAACGTGTTATGTTTTAATGCGCTTAATGGCACATATGAGAGGTATGACCTTGAAGCAGGCTAAGCTATATACAAGATTGTGCGCGGAGAAATCGGATTTTGATTGAAGATCGATGAGAAAATAAAATTGTATTATTCCTTTTCATCGTTGAAATGCATCATTTCAGATCCGATAGAGTTTAAATTTTTAATTGTATCCTTCCGCATGGAAGCGATATATATCACATTACTCGTTTATAGATTTTTACTAGAAAGCAGAAGGTTCGTGACACTAAATGCAATTAGCGCAAGTGTCAACAACTTTTCGCCATTAACCCCAACCATATGGAGATAATTTAAATTACTTGTCAAATTTATCCTTCTTAGAATATTCTAAATACATGCAAGCATGTGCCATAATTCATTTAAATTTGTGACAGACTAAATTAAAAACAGTCGCTTAGAGGTCTTTCTAAGCGGTCTCTTGCAAAGTAATAATAACGACATAGTTCAGTATAATGATATTAGCATAAGGGCCACTGTTTAGAATATTTAGAGAGGAAAATATAGCATTGTTATTTGTTAAACAGTTTTTGTCCCCATACCAGATAACCATGCTCGGCTCGTTTAAGGAAATGCTGTTTAATGTTTATAGCGGTTGCGTGGTAACCGTGGTTACCCAACGCCAGTCAAAATATTTATTGTTTGTCATGTGGTGTTTTTTGTCCAATAACATTGGATGAAAACTTATCAACGAATTATAAATTCGCTAAAGCCCGCCGCACACGCAAGCTAGTAGCTGAGGTAAAGACCTTGCGAGGCAGTTAGCTCAGCCGAAAACCACCTGCACACGTGAGAAACTTGCCTCTCGAGGCGAATTCCTCACGAAAAACGACCGCATGCACACGAGAGTAACTTGCTGAGCTAACAGTCTCACGATGTATTTAGCTCAGCTAATAGCCCTCGTGTGCAGCGGGCTTAATGCATCAGCTTTTCACTTTTGTAAGTCGTGTATAATTTAATAATATAAGGCCAGAATAGAAACATTTCTCTATACTGCGATTCCTGCAAGCTTGCGACAATCAGGAAAAGTAATGGTCGATCTTTCTTGCCATGGACATCTTGATCGATCTATATAAACAACGGGCGCAATACGTTATGGTTTATACAGGCTAGTTTCCACTCAAGAAAAATCACCTGTCGGTGAGTTCTTTCCTGAGAAACTTTCCTGTACTGTCCGATCCAAAGGAGAGTGAAAACTAGCCTTAAGTGGCAAAGAACTTTCGCTGTCTATTTTCTTACAATAACAAGAAAATTTTCTTTGCTTAGCCTGGTTTGACGTACGAACCATACCTAGCAGTTATAACCAGTTTGTGCAACGATAAAAGTATAGAATGTGCAGTAATAAAATGAGAGATGTGCAGTGATAACTATGGTATTTTCTCAACAAATCTCACTCTTCTGAGATGGATTCAGTCAGTAATTGTCCCCCAAAATGCTGGAAATCAAGTCATATATATAGGGACTCAAAAATACAGGAAATTTTCTGTGAGAGGTTTTTCACACCCTCTACAACTCCTCCATCTTTAAATTACCAATCTCCAATTGGTACCAATTGTATCATGTCCTGCATGCCAATCTATACTATATATACCATTGTGATGACTGATGATATGTGCATGCAGTGATAAAAAATTCTTAAAATTAGAGATGGTACGAACTCGAAGCCGAAACATAATTTTCTTCATTTTAAGACTTAATTTCATTGTAATATATTATTATATATTTACTTGGCTATAAAAAAATGAAGCGATGCTAGGAAACGATCGATATATAAAGAAGCTCGAAAAAACCCCGAAATAATAACGCATATAGCTACATTATTGTTAAAAGATTTGAACAGGTTCTATGTGTTCACACGAGAATAGCGACGAAGGAGCCATGGATGCAGTTCAAAATTCGTCCGGTTCCGTCTGCCCTAGCAAAAGGCAAAGAACAGAGACAAAGGATATTCTTTATGAAGAGAAAGAAAAGATGTGTCGAAGTGTGAACTATCACAATCACTGTAGTGTAGCAGCTTGAACAAGGTTGTTTCCTATTGCTCGCAACACACCTTGTTTGAGCTGCTACATGACCCTCACAATATGCAATCGCCTTCTGTTGCATGTGTTGTAAACACGAAGAGGCTAACGAATTTCGCCGCCGGATGCCTATATCAGCCGTGCGAAAATTGCATGCACAAGGTTGATTGAAATCGCAATTAGGAAGTAGTATTTTACAAATCAGAACTTTGCTGTTTTAGACAATATAGATAATCAGACATGCAGTATTTAAATTTTAAAACGGGAACAAAGACATGTTAATTTTCATATCAGCATCACCACAAGCGGACACTCTCGCTTTACGATAAATTGCTCTCTTGAGTATAAATCTGGTTGCAAACCATGTCCATGCATCAGCTGTTAAACTCGTCAGTGAACGAATGAATAGTCGATAGAAATTACATATTATTCTTAATTTGTACGTCTGTAACGACCAGTCATAACCTTTGTTTTTGTCTTGATTGTGAACAGCCGTTACAAAACTATATATAGCCAAGTTTTGCTGAATCAGTATTTGGTTATGGCAAAAATTCAACACTCGCCTGACTGCATGCATGCCAGCATGCCACAATCGTAAATCCAAACAAACGCTTTTTGATTCGACGATAAAGACGACACATGAATAATGCCAGTTCAATTACTATACAGTGTATTTTTAATTTTTTTCCCAACCCATTCCATATATAAACATAACCAAGCATGCAAGATTGAAATGCGGTAAAGATATTGTGCGCTGCGTTCATTGTATATGTACTATGTGTTAATGAATTTCTATATATGCATGCACGCATATATTATGAAAATCGTATAGTCATTTACAAACTGGCCACGTCTCCTGATCGGCGTAGGAAGATCGCACTCAAAGAGCGGCCGACGATAATATAAAATTTGCATGTTGCCTTTGATGACACCTAGAAAACGATCAATTTATCTGTGCATTTATTCCGCTTGGCTGCTTCAGGGGTTACTTGGTTGCTTCAGCGTTATGTTGACATTTGCTTTCATAAGTCTGAGAGCAAATGAAACAATCACTTTCCCTTTAAGACATTCCGGCATCTTCGCTGATCTATAGCTGTGGTTCCCGGTGTCTACAACAAATTTAGCTCGTGGATCGTATTACATATATTAGGGCTAACACACGCGGTGTTGATTGGCTCATACTGGATATAACTTAAACAAAACATTCAGAGCTTAGCCGGTCGTCGCACGAATACTGGCAGGTAACCATTAGTACTGTGTCCGAGTATAAATCCGTCATATAAAGGTTATAATTATATGTAGACGTTCTTACTTCAATACGGCAGGCCCTTATATTAATTACTGAAGATATGTGTTCTTTGTTATTACGCTGTAGATACTGACTGGCGAATAAATGGCCGCGTTATCGTTTGTATTTTAAATGTGTCATATCGTGCGATGGATGAACAAAAAGCACCGAGTACAGACGTGAACCTGTTGAGGGAAGAGATAAAACTGTGTGGCGAACAAGTTGAGGTATGGCTCGATGGAAATTGTGAATGGACAGAGGAATATTTTCAACGAAAAGCGACCGTAGAGTTCGTCCTTAAATGGATTCACCTGAACGAAAATACTTGTAAAAAGCACGGTATTTACATAAAGACGCCTGGCGCTTGTATAGAAGACTTACTCAATAACAATAACAATAACAGCAGTGCGAACGGTAAGAATGAGGATATTTCGTGTTTAGAAGATGACCTGGTGGACAGCGCAGACGAAACATTATTACGATATCAAGGCCAGGGGAAATATGCAAGGAGATTCTCGGAGCCCGTGTCGAGCGGCAGGGATGCTAGGAAAGGCTTCCGACTCAGACGAAATCATTCACTGCAAAGTCCGATACATGCAACGATTCCCGAAGATGAAACTAGTGACTCGATGATAAGAAAGCACAGCTCCGATTCGCATTTTTCGGGAAAATATGGCAACGAAAGTACAGGCGCGCCGTTTGTACGACAACGGCATCGTTCGATTGCTCAGCTTGGCTCGCTTATAGAGTCGCGAATCAAGCTACCAAACTCGAAGTCTTTGGACCAAGGGAAAAAGCTCAACCTGAAACATAACAACGAAGAGGATTTCTTCTACGAGATAATTAAAGATATTGCGAATAATTTGAACCTGAAGACACTGAGCTATAATATACTCGTTAACATCGGTATCTTAACAAACGCTGACCGATGCTCGCTATTTCTGGTCGAAGGACCAAAGAATCGGCGGAGTTTGGTATCAGAGTTATTTGATGTGCATCCAATACGACTTCGTACGAAAACCGACGAAAGCGGCCTCGAAATTCGAGTTCCATGGGGCAAAGGGATTGTTGGATACGCCGCAGAGACTGGCCAAACTGTGAACATACAAGATGCTTATGCGGTAAGATAAATACATATAGCCATTAATTATCACTGTACGTGCATTTATATGTCGCCTCTGCTGCGATCCACGCTATTGCGGTGCGGATACCTGTAATACTGCATATGCAACGCATATATTGGCATGAGTATGGAATCGAAATGACAACATGCGATCAAGTGTTTTTTGCGATTGAAGTGAGCAATGTTCTTCACTCGCTACGTCGTTGCAAAGAATAGCAGGATTACAAAAGCAGACGAAAATGTTGCTATATAGGCCACAGTTAATTTCGTTCGTATTTACGTGGCCATACCTTTGAACCTGTGCAAGATCCGCTGATAAAATTTATAAATCATAATAACAGAATATAAGCTCGAAGGCCTTTGAATTACAAATTCGGCAGAAGTTCCTTTTATAGTTATTGTTCTAGTGTGTATTTAGGTACTATATAGTACAAAAATAATTGGACCCGTTTAAGAACTGATAAATGATATACATAATTTCGCACATACATAAGATAACTCGATAAGACAGCTTACATTACAGACAGTTCGCATCGAAAGTAGGGTCATACGAACGGCGATTTGGTATATATTATGTTATAATCAACAGCCCGACTCGTCATAGACACGACTGCAAGAATTTTCAATTAGGGTTAAAGGTTAACACAAAGCCTGAAGTATACTCATCCCGTTGATGTAAAGTAATCAGTTTCTCAAACAGAGATAAAGAAATGCAATGTAGGGAAAGTCAAAGACCTATATAACCAGTCCCCATGCAATGCATGCCTTTGGCTTTGATATATATACGCATGTATACGGATTTTTTTAATCTTAAATCTTCTCTTTTGAAACTCAGGGAATGCCAAATTCAGTACTCTTAAATATTGTCAAATCACATCATTGAAATCCTAATACTTTTAAGTAGATTTAAAATTTTAAACTTTCTTGTGCCCATACATGAACTTTGCGGAAGGAAAACGCATGCACAAGTACATGAAAAAAAAAAGTCATCACGCGCGATAACTTGCCTAGCAAACTCAAGGATGCACGCAGAGTGAACGACTATAGATACAAAATGGAAGGTTTCTCTTTTTTGTTCTTTTAATTTCTTTATACCTCGTTCATTCTGGAACTGTCAATCGCAATCGAAGCTACCGAACGAACATATAAAAGCAATACTCGTGTCGTATATGTTATGCTTTTGGCCTGCCTGCATGTTATCTATGAATGAATGAAATTAATCACTGTCATGCAGCCTGTCAATTTCTGTTTAAAATAAAAACTAAACATACACGGAAATGACAAATTACGCACCTGAATTGTGCATATAGAAAAGAATGTACGTGCAATTTGCGTCTGAGAAAATAAACAGAACTTCAAATTGGGAAACAAAGAAACATTTTGCGGGAACAAATTAATTAAATTTCATCAATTCAGTGAGTACCGACTTTATTTTGAAATTAAAAATAACCTGTATAAAGTTAGTAAAAAAAGTTAATCGTGCCGCCACCGAAAGCATGTTCCTTCCCTTTTCTCACCATGCATGATATGATTCTTGAGGCATTATTAACACCTGCATGCCAAGAGCTGAGTTCTGAGTTCTCCTCTCGGTTTTAATGGTCAAAGGTTCTACAAGAGAGCAGTAAATAACGACCGATTTTATCTATGGTTTATCTCGTTTCATGCACGCTTGGCTATGCAGTGATGTACACACGCGATATTTAGACTCGTAAAAAACTCTATAGCTTGTTCGTATAAACAAAATATTGTACGAGAATCTTTCTAATCCTATAATTCCCTCACTATACCGTGATAAGTTATCACTAGAAAATGTTAAAAAAAGCACTTAACTTCAATTATTCAATCGATATGTCCAAGGTCAGCGAAATGTATGTACGTTTGGCAGCTTGGAGGAAAGATCCGGATACAGATATCCTGATCTTAAACTGGAGATGGGTAGAATTTCGTGCCATATAATTTCGTGCCTATTCTCAAGAAAGGAATTCGTGTTCTGTTGTCTTTTCTAAATATAATTTTCTTACGTGATTGCAAAGCAAATAAAAAGCAGCTAAGGGGTGATTCAATATTACACGTTCTCATGTTTTATATGAATAGAGATTCTTGGTTTTTCAGTCGGTGAGATTTTCACTTTATTTATTCGAGTATTTATAGATACATGCATATATAGCCTTATAGGTTATTTATACACCCGCGAAATTATGTTGATTGTATTTTTGTGAAGTCAAACACAATATCAACGGCTGTTGGAAATTTGATACCGTAGACCCGGCCTAGCTCATGACAAAAGAAAATTTGTAAAAAAATTATCGCGAAGCTCTACGTATGCATAACATGAAAATGCCAGAAAAAAATTACCGAATGCTCTAAAATCTATATTTTGAACTCTATATTTTGCGACTCTATATTTTAATATAATAGAATTCTAGGATTTAGATAATGGTCGAACGTGCTTCGAAGTTGAGTATATTCTCAAAGTTATTTTTGTCCCTTCTCAGAACCTTTCAACACTAAAAATAGGTGCGAGGGAGAAACCTCAGTCCTCACTTGAAAATTTAAATAGACCGTCCCAAAGTTGATAACCATGAACAACACGATGAATTACTGAGTACTTGAGTGCGCAAGAGTTGTTGTTCAAACCCACTTATATCAACTACCGAGACATTTATTCACTTTACAAAATGCAATTTGATATCTCTTTAAAGAATTAGTTTCTTGCGGTGAAATTCAGCGCACTTATAACACTTATAATAGCGATCGAGTTCATTTTGAGATAAGGTTTTTAAAATGAAGGAGGAGGTTTACCAGGCAAAATATTCAGTTCTTAACGGAAAATAAATTTTAAAGCTTTTCCCGACAATTGTATACATGCAAGAAACCAACATGTTTCGATAGTATTTCAGTAGTCTCTACAGCTTTTATAGCATAAAAAAACGTCGACCATACACGCACGAACACACAACGCACAATAATGAATGTACGCGCGTCAACATCAGGTGTATGTTAAAATAGCTCGTGAGATTTAAAAATAAACAACTTTTTGTTCCACGATGAGAATGATTCTGGGCAGTGACATCAGTGGGACATGCGGTAATGATCAATACAGTAATGAATCTATTTTTTATGCTACAAAAGCTGTTTTTTAATTTAAAATATATAGGAAGAGTATTCTCAAGTAGGATGAATATTTGCGATTACTGCATAATCGATGAACCGTTTCATTCAACACCCCTGTCCACCTGCATAAGACCATATCCTTTTCGCTACGGTCTTGGCGGCACGCGTAAATATAATTAGGTGTTTTAAGCTGTTTTTCCTATTATTATTTCATTACTTAAAACTGCGCGCAGTAATATGACTCTCTCGAACGTGTCGAAAACATTTCGTCGAATGTTTTTAAAAACCCAATAAAAAAGAGCGTAGCTCTAAAATTGTCGCGTTTAAAAATCGCTTTTGAACAGAAACGTGCAAGCCGGTAATTATAACACGTAACTATACAGTCAGCTGGGAATCGTAAACATGCAAATAAAAAACAGATCGCTTCTAGTTCCACTTAACATTTCTACTTGTTAACATAGCTACATGCATGTGCTTTCGTCAACAGCATCAGACTGCCCCTGAGCCACGTTCATAACATACCTGATGAAATAATATCTTATTGCATGCTAATAACGTGCATTCAAATACACTGCACGCGATGTACGGTTTACTATTTATATTGTAAAACTGTAAAAGAAATGCACTAGTTAGAGTAAAACAAATGTATTGCCATTAGAAATCGTTTAAAAAGGCGAATCAAGCTGAAGATCATTGTTTTTTTATGGTCGCCTGTTTGTCCTAATTGCGTAATATATTTGAAATATATATAGGAAGCAATTCCTAAAACTATACTTTTTATGCGCGGGGCATGCATAATAACATGTTCGCAGCAATATTACTGAACTGCATGGGAAGAAAAAACTTTTACAATGCTATTTTCGTCCGCAAGTGACGCAACGGCGAGCAATAAAATATGCTCTTTTAAATGTTATATGTATATGAGAGAGATAACAACCCATTTATTAACCGCTTTCAGCAACGAAACGAGAGCCTAATTTTCAATGTGAAGAATTCAAAACAAAGGTTTATATAATAATATTCAGTATGCGTCAAAGAAATTTATATCGAAATTTATCATCAATTAAAACCCGATGGAATCCGACTGCAATTCAAGTTTCCTAGTGCAATTTGATTTCAGAAAAGAATTTCATTACTCTGCAGCCCGTTGTATTCAGCAGTAATTATACCTCTTTATTCATTTTTATTCTTTATTCATTTTTATTCGTTGGACTCAAATTGTTTTTTAAACCAAAGATGAAAGTCTGCATGCTTGTATAAAGAAATTTGAAAGTGCATGCTCTGTTTATATTGGAACAAAGTAAAAAAGAAAATATGCTCTATGTACGATTTCGAGGTCAGATTTCCATATATATAGTCGTGTTTATCTTGCAGCTCTATCTTCCATCTATTTATTTTAGTTTAACATTTTGCATATGCGATTTTCCCACGCCAACAGCTCACGCAATCATGTGAATACTCTATAATATGTGTTTGTCCGGATAAATTTGAGCTCGCTGCTGTAGGACGTTTTGATAGGTAGTTATAAAGTGCCGGTTGACTAGCCATGAAGGAGGCATGCTTTTCCGTCAGCTATGCGTGCATCCATGGGATGAAAATATGCTTTGTTCAAATGTTTCAAAACGTCGGCAAAAGTGCGGCAAGTTCAAGGCAATTCTTTATATGTTTAACTTCTTCTAGCATCGTTGACCCAGCAATCTAAGCCACAAGATTGCGTCAGCAATTGCGGAAACTATGTATTCGTGTTTTTATATAAATACCGTGCAATTACTTCTGATATTGAAATAGCTTGTAATTAAAATTCGATAACGTTTCCGTAATTCATTTTCATATTACAAACGTAGGCTTGTGTTGCTGGGTTTCATTTCAAACGAATTCGCTGAATAAAAAAACACAATGGGAACTTCAAGCAGGGTTTCTTTGTCTTATCTAAAATATGACGTGTCCGACCGCGCGGAAAAGACGTCACATCAATTAAATATAGAGTGGAATCTGTTTGGTGTGAAAAAACAAGCCTACGTTAACGTTTATAACTTATGTGTAAGCGCCCACAATTTGTTATTATATAATAGTTTAAATCCAAGCATTGTTTTCTCAAAAAGTTTGGCTCATATTCGGGTCTTTAGCGTTCAAAAAACTTCAATAAACTCATGGGACGTTTGAATTTCGATCGAAGGCTTTTCGTCTCGCCTTGAAGCGAAGTTATTAAAAGACGTTGCCACGTTGCATCTTTGGTGATTTATATTTGAAAAGCCTCTTTTTTGTTTCACACAACAAAAAATCTGCAAGATTGTAAAATCCTTGCAGTTCAAATCGAAGGAACTTTGATTACGCACAGGCTTGGCTTATCTAACTCAGGACAGGCGATAAAATTATCATCCCACATTCAAAATAATTTCTAATGCATATGCTAAGGCAAAGCATATTTTGTCCTAACCGAAAACGCAGATGGTGCATTGTGAAGAAATAAGTACTAAAAAAAACGGCGACCTTGCAAATTGCTAATCATTGGTTTGTTGATTGATGCTGGAGGTTGCCTAGAGAAATCATGCAAAACACGGCATATATTTAGATAAATTATTCGTAAATGAAGTCGGGATTTTCACCGTTATCACGCTCGAGAACTAAGCGGCTATTGCATGAATATGAAAGGCCATAAGAAAACATAATTCGCATGCGAATTTTTGTATCATATAGAAACCAACACTTGTTTAAAACCAGAGAAGAATTACCTTGTGTTATTTATATTTTAGTGCAAAATCATCTGATTATGATATTAGCGAAAAATTTCTTTTCCGCGCGGAAGAAATTGGTAACTAACGCCTTGCTAACTTGGATGTTAGATGTTAAGAAAGCAGAACGACATTCGTTATTCGGATCATTAACTGTGTTCGGATGCACGGAAAACGAAGAAGGGAAGCGCGCCAACGCCCGAGTTGATCATGCATGCCTGCGGTAGTTATTCAGTTACCTAAGCGTCAATGTGTGCGGCATATAGTTAGCCGATGTTATCCAGCGATTTATTTATAAGTTGATTGGGAATTGGCCAAGAAATTTATCGTGTCATTAAATTAAACCTGCGGCGATATATTACAACATATAATCATCTCGTCAATTCATTTCAAAACACACACACATTATGGTGTTGAAAATTCTTTGTTATCGTTACCATCTACATATTCTTCATTGAGCAGCTGTGCGCGCATTTTGTCGCTGCCCAGCGTTTAATGCATGGTCTTGTTTTTTATAGTAAACGTAAGACGTAAAATTGCGAAGTAAGAACATTACATCCATATATAGTTCAGCGGTTTAACGTGCAGTATTGTACATGTTTTTTATGGGAAAGTGTACAGTGTTGAAATGCGTACAGTATGTAATTGTTATTGTGTGCATGCAGTATTAAAATTTGAAAATATCGACTTGAGGATGATTATATAGAGCATATATTTAAAAATCAGGTTGATATTCAACAACGGCGGGGCGAAGGGGTAACTTTCCGTGCGAAAGAAATTATTGTTGTTAAAATATTGTTGGAAAATGTATATATACGAAGCTGTACATAATTTACCTAAATATCTGTACATCTGTATTGGCCATTTCAGTGATGACATATATTTGAGATATCTCAATATTTTCATCACGATAGCACCTCCAGTCCTCGGTCTCTATAGCTACGATAATTCAAGTGCGCAGTATTGAATATCCCTTAGAAGAGGCCTTCATGCATGCTATACCTGTAGTTGCTCGCCATACGTAACGAATTTCATTTGAAATATTCAAAGTATATTATATCTTTTCATTGATTCAAATGTATAATAACACAAGGCATTAATTTTTATTTATCCCATGCAGTTCTTTGTTACAGCCCGCTTTGTTTTTAAAATCACACACGTCAAAAAGGTTGTGGGATCAAGTATAAGCTTTTAGAAAGTTCAGGGAATATTAGGGTATTTAATGATATTAACGCTGTCAGACTCACTGGTGAGATAATACGAAAAGTTGGAAAACAGATTACAATCAATGAAGGCTTGGGTTTACAGACCGAAGGCTTTGCAGATAACAAATGTATTTATGCACGCGTAGTGTTCTACAAATTGTGTAAAGAAACAAGACGCCGGCTTAGCGTACACTCGTGCTGCAGAGATTCAATAGCATTTATAAACCTTTGTATGTCTAAGCCAGGCAAAACATCCATGATAAATCTTGCTTTCGTATAGGAATTTAAAAGTAAACATCGCATGCACCAAGCAATATATAAACGTTGCACCGTATAGTAATCAATGTGTTCTGTGCATGCATATGTATTTTGGCATTTGCATCCTTCGTATTGTTTGTAAAATGTGGCTTGTATAAGTTGTATTGTCGGATAATTACATTTCGTCACTCCTCGCATGCAGCAGTGCCCATATTGCGAGATTTCGATACAAGTGCGCAATGCATTATTGGGTCATCGAGGTCCAAAACGCGACCTACACACGACGAAACCGCTGACTCGCGCTCCCCAAGAGCACGAGTAATAATCATCACTGTCCTAATTAATGGTTTTGTTTCACGTTTTGTGTATACGCAGGATTCAAGGTTTAACCAAGAAGTTGATAAACAGACTGGTTATCGAACGAAGAGTTTGCTCTGTACTCCAATCAAAAATAGTGATGGTGAGGTATGGAAAGGCTTTCGCAAAATCTCTCTTTCTCCGACTATATCATTTCTTTAGTAGACCAACGCGATTTTTATTGCTTTGAGAAATGTTTCTTGCGGTCAAAATAGTGAACTACCTTTCATCTACCTCTCCCCAGCACGCTATAAACGATGGAAACGATTGTTCATAATTCTTTAAAGGTGGTCGGTGTGGCTCAACTCATCAACAAAAATCCAGATGCGTCCGCTTTTACCAAAGAAGACCAAGAGGTTATTATTATTACAGTTTTTTTCTCTAAATGAAACTTTCATTGATTTCATTGAAAAACTTTTTATTTAAACCTTAAAACATCAAAAATGAATAATGCAATTTTCGTCATATGAAGTTCAAGGGCCAAAAAACGGTCGGTCGATATATAGTCTTGTGAAGTGTTTGATACTTGTGAAACTTGTGATATGTGAAACAACACGAAATCGACGAGAGGTTGATGTATTTTGTTATTTTTATTTGCTGCCAGGTTACGAACAAATATAAATATATATTCTGAAATGTGAACTGTAACAGATCCTTGATGATTTTCATTTTTTAGTTGTGTGACAGATATCTACCGTTCTGTGGCATAGGGATCACGAATGCACAGCTATTTGAATTGTCACAAAAAGAATTTCAAAGAAATAAGGCAAGATTTTACATTTGTGAAACAAAATACATCCTTAAGATGCTAAAATTTCATTAGATGTCCAGGCAGTTTTTATTTCGCCTTGGTCCATGAATTTTCTTTTTGGCTCTAGGTTTTGATTGAAATGATTCATGACATATTTGAAGAGCAAACGTCCGTCAGTAAAATTGTGAACAGAGTTATGAAGCGAAGTTTAAAACTAATGAAATGTGAGCACTGCTCAGTGATGTTGCTAAACGAACCACTAATTGAAACGGGAGATGGCCAATTTGCTGATAGGAACTCTGAGGTAAACGCTTAAACTATATAATATTTTCAACACGGTCAGGAACAAATTGACCATGCAGTTCCCGTGCGCCAATGACATGCAGCATGCATTCTCTTGAGGTTTTTGCGTACAATTTCGTTGGGCTGTACGTCATACATGAATGATGTAACAAAGTTTGGTTATTATTTAGAACTTAAAGTTCTCCAACAACTTCCATTTGAAAGCAACAACCTCGGCCAGACATTCTGTCATAGTAAGGTATGATCATGACGTGTTTCATGAATGGCTACATTTATTTTAACTACAGATCACTTTATCGAGGGTGCATGCCTAAATTACTAGACCTTCACCTTTCCCATCAAAAAATCTCTTGGTCTTTGTGCTGTAGAAAAAGGTGGATTCACGCTCTGCCCCACTGCGAAATAAATGTTTAAATGTAATCTGGTATTGTGCATATTTTACAGCGATATAAATGGAGAATTGTTAAACGCCTTAACCATTTTAAGTGAGCGTGTGATTTCGAATCCGAAGGTACGTGCATGTCCTTTTGTGCCAATGTATACAACTTTTAAGAACAAACAACGGCGAAGTTCAGGAATAATATTAATTTTAATGAGTAATTTGAAAACTGCTTAATTCTTTCAAATTTGTTTGGAATTATTGCCATCGGATATCGCATCTTCTCTTAATTTTCTATTAAGTCTTATTACTAGGTTATTTAATTTAATTTTCATTTTTTTAAAATTTCGTTGATGGCGATATAGTTTGTCATATCGAAATGGTTGAAATAATCTTCTGCATTAAACACTAATTATAGACATTGTGTATTTCGGACATCAATGAAGACGCGAACGTAAAAAATTTGGTAGGTAAAGAAGAGTTTTTTCAGTGCTTGTAGAGTTTGATCATTTTGAAGTATACAAATGACACAAAATTAATTCGATTACTCAAGACTCATAAAGTAATGGAGTGAGTCAGTTTCCTTCTTTTTTATATTTTCATCCAGTGTGGGAACAGTATTGTTTCGTATAAACGGCCTATACGATATATAACTTTTTCTAAATTTTTCTGAACTTTTTCTAAATTACTCGCGACAGACTCGAGGTTCGTGTGACGAAATCAGATCGATATTAAGCATGCCAATACGGAATAGCAAGTCCGAAATACTGGGTAAGACAATGATTAGTTTTATCTCAAGGTAGCTTGTAGGTCAGGATCATAATTTCTAGGTATCGATCATCCAATAAATGTAACGCGTGGGTGTTTGGTTTTAGGTGTTGCATCACTAATGAACAAGGTGAATAATTCTCCGTTCGACGAAAACGACATCTCACTATTCGAGGTTAGTTTCTTAATTTGGACAATTCACTTTGGTTTTAACAACTTACTTCGAAAATAGGGCGCTTAGATGAGGAATTTTAATGTTGTATAAAGATGATGCATGTATTTCGCTTACATATATGCTACAATGTAAATTTCTAATTGCATGCATTTCCCAGGTTTGGGTATTATAATATGATTTCGAGAGTATATTAGAAAACCATATGCGTTTCGGAATTCGGATGAGTCGACGAAAAACACACGATTGCATCCCCCTCCACATCACGCGAATAAACTGTTATTATACATGACATTATAACGTCAATTCTTCGTTCATAAAAAATCGTAGCATTGCCATTAGGGATTGTATGACCGAAAAATTGGTCTTATACAATTGGATGGCTGTATTATATAATTTGTCCACGGATATGTATTCGCCCATTATATAATTTGCATTGTCAACTTTTTAGGCAATCGTCCTGTTTTGTGGGCTTGGTATTAACAATACGATGTTGTATGACCAGATGGCGAAAGCCAAAGCAAAGCAGCAAGTTGCATTGGAGGTATGCAACAACGGCCGGTTCATTTCATTCCATTCATGATTTTTTATCATACATGCAGGGTATATTACATGTGCGCGAATCCTAAAATCCGTGTTTCCTTTCTAACCAGGTGCTTTCTTACCACGTCAAATGTCCTCAGATGGAGGTTGAAAAACTGAAGGTAGTTTTAGTTCAAGGTTGCTTGTTTTCCAACTACAATTGTAACCTTCGACTGAGTGTTTTGCGTTTATTCAGAGTTCACATGCATACATTCTGTCTTGGTGCATGATATAAGTATTCATGACCTATCTATATATCGAGAGATTTTTAGCCCCTTGAAGCGATAGAATCCCAGTCTGCAGAATTGATTTCTCTCGGGTTTCTGCCAATGCCGTTTTATCATTCTTTCATTGTCTAGCTTTCCTTGATTCCATCCCAGTCGAGCCTTCATTTAGGTAGCATGAAGTTCGATGATTTTTCCTTGGATCCCGACCAGATGCTTACGGCTGCTGTGCGAATGTTTATGGAGTGCGGTTTGATCGAAGAATTCAACATCGATTATCAGGTATGTATAGGATCACTTATTTCATGGAAATATCATGCTATTCCTGCATGCGCTTCAAAACTTTTTTCACAAAGCTTGATTGCATGTCGAATGTGAATGAATATACGCTGCCACAATACTCGTTGTCATCGATCATTTTCAATGAATCTCGATAGAAGAGAACGAGCTCGGGTTGCTTCTGCATCTTTTTGCAAATCCGAATATGTGTTCAATTTCAAAACAATTCTGAATAGAAAATATATCTCGAATAAAAAAAATAATGTGAATATAATTTCAGTTTGAATTTCCTATCAAACATCGCTTAATATGGTCAGGATTTAAGGGAATTTAAGGATTATATAGGAGTTATAAGGCTTTCGATACGACATCGATCGTGGCGAAGATGATATCTTCCATCTTCCGATATAAATTCTAACTGATCTTTAATATCAACATAGTCGGATATTAACTGGTATGATTCAAATCCAATTAGTCATTACCCGGGAGCGTTATTTTAGAAAATTAATGTAAAAAATTCGGTCAAACGTTCAGTCGGCTTGATGTATTGTCGGCCAAATATCCTGTCGGTGAAAGGTCCTGTCGGTCAAACGTCTGTCGGTCCCTAGATGTCCTTAGCCCAAATGTCCTTCGGCCAAAAAGGCGGGCCACGTTTTTCATTAAACGTCTTTCATTCAATGGTTTTGTTCAAATTCGACTTTATTTTTTCAATTTTTTAAAATTAATTAGTCAGGTGAATGCGGAAATATCAAACGAACTGCAAATATAGCCAACATGCACAATCGATCCGATAATTTGCTTCAATTATTTAAGGCATTTTTTGAAACTTCTCTTAGACGTTATGCTGGTGGCTAACAACTACACGAAAGAACTACAGGAATGTCATCTACCACAATTGGAGGCATGCATTTAATGTTGCCCAATCAATGTTTGCCATATTATCGGTGAGTGCATGTATATTGCGAGACCTTAGCAGTATGCACATGTTTGCGATTCCCTCCACTCAAATTACGTGAACAAGTGGATAAGGACCTATTATTACATTGAGATCAATGCAATGGAACGTCCCCTTAAGATGAATACGTCTATTGTTACGAAATCTGACTTCCAGACCGCCGCCCGTTATTTCAAAAAGGGAACAGAGATTGACCAGAATTAAGTAAATCACCAATGACTCGTTCAATCACCCTCTGCATAGGCATAAAGCAATACGAAAAATCTCACCGAAAACTGCTTGTGTGAATCCAAATTTTAATATTCGAATGTTTTCTCGCAATCAAGGGAGGGAATATGAGCCAGTATTTGAGTAAGCTGGAGTGTTTGGCCTTACTAGCTGGGTGCCTGTGTCATGACGTCGACCATCGGGGAACCAACAATGCATTTCAAGCAAAGTATGCTTCAACATATCTATATACCTAATACTTTATGTATACAACACGACACATGAGTATGAATTGTAAATTTTGTATAAGTTCTAATACCACGGCATTAAGGTTGATTGCTTACGGATATTTATACGGATACAAAAGTGCAAACAATTTAATCCTGATTAAACCGCATCGTTTGCCAAAGGCCAAGTGATGAATGTTGACTGAAATATACTATCATTCTACCAGACGGCTATAAAAGGACATTTTGAACAAAACTAGGTAAACTTTCGTTAAAATTAAATCAATCTTTTCAAACAGAACAGCATCCCCACTAGCAACGCTTTATGGTACCAGCGTGATGGAACATCATCATTTTAATCATACAATAATGATCCTAAACACAGAGGTGAGTTTTCCTTTTTCCATCTAGTTATGACACAACGTGCGTGCCTACCATAGCTTAAATTAGTTATTAGTTTACAAAGGTTATAAAGAAATAGAGATATAAACAGGGTCACTGCATGTTGGGGTATATTCATTTAATTTACTGAAACATTATACATTTTCCCTGCTTTGCATTCTCCATATGCAATAAGTCAGTATATTTGCTCTTTAGACTTAGTGTAGTTGCTTGAATACCATTTATAATTTGGCAACCTTTCATGCTATATTTTTCCTTTAGGGCCACAATATATTCCAAAATCTCTCCTCACAGAGCTATCGTAAAGTTATAAGTTTGCTTCGACATTCAATTCTTTCTACTGATTTGGCAATCAATTTCAAGTACGTCTAAGTGAATAAACTACAAATATAGTTGTAGACACTTTTTGCATGAGATATTGTTCATACTACATGCAGTCTGAGTCAGAGAAGATCGAAAACTTTCACGCTTTGCTATAAGATTGTAAGTCTTACCGGAAATTAATTGTTAACAAGGGAAGACTATAAAAACAGTAAAATCAATTTGACATCACAAGTCCTTCTGGGACTCGTACCCTGAGAAATTTCGATGTGTTATAGGGTACCTGGGTACTTGCATGGAGACGGTTGATTCTTCCTCAATTTCTTGACATGCATGCGGAATGTTTGTGAATTAATTTCGGTCAGTAGTCTAATAAAGTGCAATGCGTGATTAGATTTTAAATTTTTCATCTGTGTACTTTTACAAATTACAGTACTGTTTATTCTTCTTCACCAAAAAGGGTGTAAAATATTTCATCTGCTTCGCTATTTACGCCATAAATTTTTCTAGCATTTTCTGCTTAAATACTGGGATCAAAAGTGATTTAAAATGTATACGCATAATGAAGTTCAATTCTCGTAGGTACCGTTCGACCTTTTTCCCATTGGTTGAAAATGGGGAATTGAATTTAGAAAATGAGGATCATCGAAGTTTGCTGAGGTATGTACTGACAATTAATCTAGTAACAGTACTATACCATTATTTCCTTCTTTTACAAATATTACCATTATTTCTTCGTGTATATATCTCCTTTGGAGTTAGGCGTGTAGCTTTATAGACACGTACTCACTACATGGTGTAATATATATAATACGATAATTATAATTTTCTACGTACTTTACCTAAAGAAACACTAACACATGATACGCATGCACTAAATGTCTATTTGGTGTATTGTAATATAGAGGGATGTTGATGACAGCGTGTGATCTTTGTGGGATAACTAAACCTTGGAATATACAACGAGAGGTGAGAAGTCATTTATTCGCTGATATCCACCCACATAATGTGGCGTAGCCAGCCTGACGATTTAGTCATGCTATGCAAATTTTATGTTATTATCATTATTCATTTATTTACAAATTTATTGTTTTCACAGTCAATGCACACCAAAATATTAGCATAGCATGACTAAATTGTCGGGCTGGCTACGCCACGGCCACATTGTCCAGAATCGGGCAGTGGCAATGGTATAATCGATGATATAGATTAGACAACCGTATATACATTTGATATTTAACAATTTTTGATTGAGGTTGAATATGATATGAAGAATTATCAAGCCGAAGTCTGTGGTTATCAACCGAAGCCAAAGGCTTAGGAGGTTGATAATGACAAACAAAGGCTTGATAATTCTTCATATCATCTGAAAACTGAATTTGATAATTGTTTTATAATTTATTTAAAACAATGAACATTAATTACAACTTTCAATTTTTCGCTTGAATTTGTGTCGATCTCACATTCCCGTTCCTTTGGGACGTTCATATTTTCGCCATTGATGTGACGTCATAACGTGGGATACGACTATTTGTCACACGTTATGACGTAATAGCGTGCAAGAAAAAAGTCGTATCGCACGTTATGACGTCACACGTTAGGTATGACACATGGCTATTAGCCAATCAGAGGCTGCGAATTCTTTTAAATGAATAATAATTTTTTTTTATCCTAGGTGGTACATCTAGTCACAAGCGAATTCATCCAGCAGGGTGATATTGAAAGGGAGAAATTCAATGAAAATGATATTCCTGTAAGATTATATATATATCTTGTTTAAAAATCACACTAACAGACAATTTATCGTCTTCGTTCAAGCACTGCTCATACCTCGCAGCAATTATAATACCTGTGATCGAAAGACCTCATTGTAATAATCCGTGTATATGGATTCGCCATATTATGTCCATGCATATAATATTACGTGTCGGAGGTGTATGCCTCTTTATTTTGATTCGAGATGTTATTATTATAGATAAATTTTGTAACCAACAATGTTGTTACCTATTAGGCGATGATGGATAGGCAAAAGAAGAACGAACTTCCAAAAATGCAAGTCCAATTCTTTGATTCTGTTGGAATACCTATCTTTCGGGTAAGTAATACCTATCATTCGAAAAGTATACGGTCTACGGTAAATGCATGATATACGGTCAGTCTACTTAGAGTTCACTGCATGAATGCATTGATTTAAGTTTCTCTCTTTAGATAATATAATAGACAATAGTTTAACGTTTCAATATAATTTCCTCATACTCTATAGATTTGTGCAAAAGTCAATCCCGCTCTAAAACCACTTCTTGACGGAGCCATTGCAAACAGAAATCGATGGGAACAATTGCAGAATGCAGCATTACGCGCGGAAGTATAAGTGAAGAGATAATTTTGTGATCAGTATTTTGAAGTATGAATGTTGACACCGAATCCTCTTATGAAGCATCGTTAATGCAGATGCCCATCACGACGAGAGAAGACTGATAATGATTAACTACACTCCATCAGGAGAAATAATGCGAGCAAAGGTCAATAATGCTGTTGATCATCACGAATTATCTTTCGAGACACTAGACGCTTTCCACTAGCCGCTTTCCACTAGTCGCTTTCCACTAGCCGATTCTATCGCGCGATGCAAATGGTCAATCTCGCGTTTTAGGTTGGAACCATCTGGAACGATAAAATTCATTTGGCCGGAGAAATGTCGGCGAAAACAGCTGTTAGGTCGAAACCCTGGGTAAAATTGTCTCATTACTTTCCTGATTAGGCGCGTTTCTTAAGATCTGTTCACACGATACAATATTGTTGGATCCAATTCACTTCTGATGTATGTTTTATAGTCTTATGATGTTTATGGGCAGCAAATGCACTGAAGCCAATGCAGTACTGCTTTATCAATAACAGACTATATCCCATACGTCAGAAGTGAAGTGGATCCAACAAAATTGGATCGTGTGAACAGACCTTTACGCTATATACATTTCACATATGCCAAATAAACGTGCATTAATATGCATTATATGACCTCAAATGTTTCGGTGTGTCATGAAGAATTCCATTTTTTCTCTCGATTGTCTAGCAGGGAATTCTGGTATTTTTGATCATGCACGCCTATACGTCATGCACATTATTTTTTACAAACAATGGATAATGAGCTGGAATGCGTAATTATCTATTGTTTTTAAATGTATTCGTCTTGACGAATATACATGTTGATATGCACATGTGAAATTTTACTCATGAAACAGGTCTATACGAATTGGTTTTCATTTTCGACGTATCGTAATGTGCCGTGACATGTTCTCTTGCTTCAGAGTCGTTAGTTCTCTAGCCTAGTTTCCATTTTGTCAGATTGTCTGTAAAAAGTTATTCTAATCGATGTAAAATCGTTAGGATGTAAATATATCTTTATTTTTGGTATTCAAATCAGCCATTCTTGACTAAACACATGCACATGGCATTATTCTATTGTTTGCATCATCCATATTCACATGTTCACGACAATTACGTTCGAATGGAAACCAGTTTTGTCGGCCTGTTTAGGAAAGAGACATACTGTACGGTTCGGTTGAAATTGAAAGAAGCCTTTAGAATAGTCGAAGGCTTCTGAACAGAAGTTATCGGGGACGGTGCTTTGGTTTAACAACGTGTCCCCATAATTGTACAATTCGCTCGCCAGCGATTGCAGTTTAACGGACAAGTTAATAGTTCATGCAGCCTGTTTAATATGCTAGTTTTGGCAGTAATGTTCGTTTTGAAGCAGCGACAGAACTCGTCTGGCCATTCGTAACTGGGCGTCTAATAAACTGTCTGTTTCCCTTTCGAATTATTTCGTGATCTTTTAGACGCTGTAATGTAAATTGTTCCTATTGTTCCTAATGGTTCCAGCCAAATTATCAAGAAGATGGCAAATAGCTTCGCGCAAGTGGAAAGTTTACTGTAGGTTAGTATAGAGTAATATATAGAATCGTACGTTGGAAAAACAGGGTTGGGAATGTATATATATATTTGTACAGCAGCAAAATCACACGCACCTGGAAAATAGCATATTACAAATTGCAATTATAATGCACGCGATAATAAAGAAATACACTACATGCAGTCAATTTATTGGCACGGTACGGCTGTAAAAATGGGTACGCGAACCCATGAAATGGGCACGGTACCCATTTTAGCCGTGCCGTGCCGATAAATTGAGTGTAGCGTAAACGGAGCTTAAAGTATTCTTTCCGTAAATCATTGAAGCCAGCATATCTTATACCAGTATCATGAAGCGAAGCATGTACCTGTTCTGCCATATAGGCTATATTCGAAAATATTCTCGAAAGACGAGAGAATGTTTGATACAACTCGGGCTTGATGTGACAGGATAGATAAATCAGTGAAAATCTCAATGGGTCTACAATTGCGTAATAGACCTTTCCCCTTTTAGCTTTCAAGCGCGCAATTCTTTACGGTAGTTGATTATTAAGCAACTTTGAGTTGAAAATAGCAAAATCACAACTCAAATTGACCTTGATAATTAACTACCGTCACGCATTGCGCGGTTGAAAGCTAAAAGGGGAAAGGTCCGTTGAACATGCAAACCTATGTTGCGCACGAAATATTTTGCTTCGTTTAAAATGGAGAGGGGTTGCTGCATGCATGTATTTCAAGTACTATATTATAAGGCCGGTGCGCGCTAGAGCAGAGCAACTGGCTTAGTGGTGGTTACTTACTCATTATCTATTCTTGCAATTGACCATAACAAAAAAGATAGCGGATGTACATTTTACCAGAATACATTGCGGTCAGAAATCGTTTAAAAAAGCGAACTGACGTCTTTTAAAGGACAGGCAATACAGAGAAATTATTAGTTAGACAGACAAGTTATTTTCTTCGCTGTGTTAAAATTTCACGTCGTTAGGAGTTTTTCATCTTTTTTCAGTCAATCATTCTTAATGCCCGCAATGCATTAAAATGTACTTGCCGCCATCTTTTTCTTTGCGGTCAATTGCGTTCGGCACATGAACGAGAAGCACGACATTTTAGGCCTAGGAAAGTTAAACACATCCTAGTCGAACGGTTGTTTAAGCTGGTTGACGAGCTGGTTAACGAGCTAAAGTACTAGAATTGTGAAACAATTAAAAACTGCATTAATTAATATTCAAAGATTACAAAATCGGAGGCCTTTAAAGCCGCGTTTACACTATAGCTATGTGGTTTGACCTGGCCTGGACCAGCCACCTAGACCTAGGTGATTACGTTGTTTATCTGCCCTACACCAGGCCTGGACCTGGTCTAGGCCACAAAATCCAGGCCATCAGAAGGCGGCCTGGACCAGGCCTTAGACCTGACCTGGAGCACGATGTTTGTAATGGGAATGGGTTTTACTTATTCCTGATCTATTTTCAACTTAATAGTATGATCCATACTAGTATTACCACTTTTCGGCGAGTTTGGGGTTTTTCCAAGTATTTTGTCAATTATTTTGGCTATCCGATATCATCAACAAGGAAGACAGTGTGAACGTGGCACATATTACCTAGACTTGTCCTAGACCTGGTCCATGCAGGCCAGATCTAGGCGTTAGAGTGCTCAATCAATATATGTTATAATCATAATATAACAATCATGCAGGGAACGGTTGTATTTAGTCCGTTTGGCTCAAACTGTGGATAAGTCAAAATTAAATAACACTCGAGATCTCACGTCTCTCTTGAATGAGTCAACTTGAATATTATTATGCACTGAATATGTAGTTGTAAACAGTATCTTTGTATTAAGGTTAAAAACATTGAGTTTGCTTGTTGAATAAAACGATACACTTGCTTTCTATTTTGAACTCAACCACCGTTTAAGCTAAACGGGCTTGATACAACCGGCCCCAATTGAATAATTATATTGTTCCTTATAGTTAAAGTGATCCCCAAAACTTTTCTGCTATCGGCCAAGGTGTTTCCACTGTGTATGTTTCCACTAGCATACTCTCTTTGACGACGACCTTGCCCTGGAATTTTTTTTGGAGTCTTCTCGGAACGTATGCGTCATATACAAAAATTTCTTCCGGGAATTATTAATAATTCAGTCGGGAGGGCGTTGTGGGATTTTGTTATTTCATCAGTACTTCAAATATGCCTCGTCTGAGATTCTCTCAACATTGCATCAGTAGATGTCTCACGTGATTTTTAATAACGAAAGACATCGTTGCTATTGTGTCGCTTACCTGAATCCAAATACTGAGCCAAGAGGCAAAACCATATCGCGTTATCTCGTGTCGAAAATTTAACGACATACCTTTCCAGTATAAAGTGACAGCTTGGAAAAAAGTGTTTGGGAAACTCAATGGCATTACCTCAATTACAAGTTAGTTTCATCGTTATAAAATATCAGTTTATAATGACTAGTGATATGGCGGGGTAACCTGCTGTAAAAAGGAAGGCTTGTTAGAAACAAAAGTTGACTGCTTGCTTCGTTTGTACGATGTTAACGAAACAATAACCCGTTTCATTATTGGTACTCTTCTCTTAAAACATCACAGGCTGTTTCATCTAAAAACTCACGAGCTCTCTAGTTCGTTACGTATGTCATTGTATGCATGAGATCTAAACAAGTACAACGCCGATCCGGCAGCGCTATATGGACTATGTATAGTATAGTGTGATAAACACAGCCGCCAATTTCAGAAATCCGATCCGTTTCAGATACATGCCTTACAGCCCTACTTTGTTTTACCAACTAGAGAATTTAATGTTTATCCCTGTTGTGAAACTGTAAATATCGATGGTTTTTCTTCTTGCGTCGTAAATTGCCGATTTAATTTATCTAAAGCTCGTTTATTCGTCTTCTTCGCGAACAACATGGTAGGCATTTACCGCATGCATGTCGAGTTTTTACATGCACGGAAGTATATGCGTCGGTAGAAAACTGATGGTTAATATCTATACGACTTGTGCCTGTAATATGTCTTTAAAGTTTATTTAATGCTCGTATATGACTATTTCGTATATAACCTCCAAAAATCGTGTATTTTGTTTCACATGCAAACTATATAAAATTATATATGATATACGATCATATCATCATAAGGTCTCGTTATTTCTTGTTATCATGCATGTTTCTACTTGCTCAGCCTGAAACTTTAATCGATCAATTTTAACCGGATAAAAAATGTCTATATATATAACTATCAACCTTAAACATTATAAAATAAAGAAAATTCCAAAGGCAAAGAGTGTATAACCTCTTGGTTCAGCGTTCACAAATGTAGGGGCCCTTTTGCGTAAAGTAAACGGTTTTCTCATCCCATGTTTTAGACAAAATGTTATACTCCTGAATTAAAACCGTGTAAATTCTCAGTCACGTCAGTAAATTCACTGTCAGTAGACTACTATTGGCATTGTGGCTTCCTAGTCAGTTGAGTATATTCGATGCAAAAAGTTTCGAAATCTTGTGATTTCTCGATCATTTGTCATATTGACGCAATGGATTTAAATCCATGACAACAGATTTTCTTAATTAATACGATGTCTTTGTGTAACACTGCAACACAGTCTGCTTTTGTACTCGGCTGATCTTGACTTAACTGATTGTGCTATAGTGCAGGGTATGATTAACTCGCTGACAATTGCTATAAGTAGCTTGATGGAAATAAGTATATTAGGTGTCTTGACATAAATGTGTCTAGAAACAACCTCACATTTTCCTCAGCATTTTATCATTTCAATTTTGTCTTATTTCACGTATGTGACCATGTAGACCCTATATATAGCCAGTATATATATGCACATTGGATATCCAAATTTTGTTTGTAAAAATTGTTGCTGTGTTTTGTTGTATCAGGGTGTTAATTATCTCCTCCATAGACTTCTCCATACGGTACAGAACTTTCAGGTAATCTTGATCATTCAATGACAGAAGAAAGAAATAGGGTAAGTTTACTTCCTAAGTGACGGGAAAACTAAAAGGAATGTATTGTGAAATTTATAGAAGGTTGTGCATCGAAATTAGCTTTACTGTCACATAGCTTATAATTGGTGCAGTGAAGAATAAAATTTTTTTCTATAGCCTTCTTATGCACAGCTGCAAAGAATAGAAGTACGTGGTGTGCTCAATAGAGATCGTACGGCGTTAGCAGCATTGGCCATACAAAATGTAAGCACAAAATGCAAAAAACAAAAAGTATTTCATATAGCAGCGGTTGGCTTTTGTATGAAATTTGATGCTCGCTGTTATATATGCCTTTCCTAGCTACCCGACCCGGCCGGCGCACACAAGAGCTATGCTCTCGTGTGCGGGCGACTTTCCGGCGACTTTGGTCATTCGTGCCAAAAGTAAAAACTGTAAACACACTGTTTTCTACGGTGTCAGTAAAGAAGTATTAATTATTGGTAATAGCTCTTCCAGAATTCCAGGTCATAAAATTATATTATATATATTCTGTATTAAGAGTATAAATCTAGCAAAATTAGACCTACTGTACGCTGTGATTTTATGATTAGGCGCCTATAATATAATTGAACACATTTTTGGCACACAGGAAGATTTGACAGACGAAAATGCTTCGCTGCGTGAAAAGGTTCGAAAAATGACAGATGCCTTAGCGAACTCGAAGCTGGAGACAGCGGATATGTCCGAGAAATTTGGTGAACTGGCGAAAAGTTGGAAGGAAATGATGAGGCAGATAAAATCAGATCACGATGAATGCAGAAATGAATACGAAATAAGAATAGAAGCGTTAGAAAAAGCAAATGAAAGGCTGATGGTGGAAAACGCGGAAATGAAAAGAATTATTGCAAACTTCGAAAGACTCCAGATACAGCTCAAGGAAGCGAATGAGAAGCTAATCAGAGACAACGAAGAGACGAAGAAGATTGTCAACGACCTGAAGAAAAAGCATTTGCAATCCGAAGAAGAAAGGCTTAGATTATTGGTTGGTCAAATTGCGTTCAAGTTGGAATCGCTTGTATCAGAATATGTCTTTCCTGGTACAGATAGGGCAAGTAGGAGGGCTCGGTATAATTTGCAATTGAAAACTTTGCAAGGGAAGATAGAAAAAATGAGAGATGAAGAAGGTGTCAAAGAGCAAGCAACCGCACGACTAAATGATCTTGATAAGGAAATGTTCGAAAGTTGGTTTTTGGATATGGTGGACGACCTGAAGCAAAATCGATTATATACCTGGCGCACCCAGAGCTTGGAAGTTACCAAGAGATGGAAAACGCCATTAATGATTATTGTGAGGATGGAGAAGATCGCGAGGATAAATTGAAAGCATTGAAGCATCTTCAGACCATGTACGGAAAGCTGAATCTACCTTTTGGCCAATAGCCGCCCGGGGAAAGATTTATGTTTAGTTCTTTAACTTCCTTATTCATGCAACACATGTAGGATATGGTGTATGTAATGCATGTATGCATCAGCTAACTTCATACTATGATCAATTGTTAATTTGATGATTGGAATAATTAACGTCAACTAGGCTATATATACATTTATCAAGCAGTGCGATTGACTGAACTGATTGTAAACATACAAATGGACAGAAAATGAAAAGCCTGAAAGTTCCTAAGAAATCCAGTGCTGTTTTGCGAATTTAAAAGATCTTCTAAATTACATGGAATTGTATTTCAGGGATCGTGGGAGCATGAACATTAAGTAATCCGGACGTATTATAGACGTTTTTATTGACTCTCCGTTCAAATTGCTCAATTTATTGTATCTATATGTGCACCGCTGCGGATTTAGATTTCATTCCTTTAATTTCATTTTCCTTTCATTTAAATTTATTTAATCACGGTAGACTATCAATATACGTACATTGTTTTTCATATAGAGCCGTGAGCGTGAGCTTATATGTACAAGTAGCATGCATTTACAAATGATATAGCTAAAAAAATTAATTACTTATTCCAGACCTTTGCGCCTTTGTAACTTAAACTCTTTATCGTAGCAATTGTATTAGGTTTTGAAAGCCTCATATACGCTTACTTCGTAGATTAGAATTTTCATTATTTCATATTTCGAATAAATCAGAACTTACTTCAGAACTCCACCCTTTAATAACCTTACTCATGTAACCTTACTTTGTTTACTCATATGATTTAGACCATCGTCTTCTAAGGTTTTCCATCCTATATAAATTTTCAAGTAGCTACTTGTTTTTGACCGGATCTCATAAATATTTCAAAGTTTAACAATGTGTCCCCATAATAGTTCATTGAAGCCTGTTTAATTGGCTAGTTTTGGCAGTAATGTTCGTTTCGAAGCAGCGACAAAACTCCTCTGGCCATTCGTAACTGGGCGTCTAATAAACCGGCTTTTTCCCTTTTGAATTATTTCGTGATCGTATTCTTTGGACGCTGTAATGTAAATTTTCCTGCCGAATTATCAAGAAGATGGCAAATAGCTTCGCGCAAGTGGAAAGTTTACAGTAGGTTAGTATAGAGTAATATATAGGATCGTACGTTGGAAAAACAGGGTTGGGAATGTATATATATTTGTACAGCAGCAAAATCACACGCACCTATAAAATAGCATATTACAAATTGCGATTATAATGCACGCGTTAATAAAGAAATATTCGCGCGAGCATGTGAGAGTTTAAAGTATACTTTCGGTAAATCATTGAACCCGGTATATCTTATATATACCAGTATCATGAAGCGAAGCATATGTATACTTGGTCTGTCATGTATGTAACCTTTATTTAAAATCAATGTGGGATATCAACGTAGTGTAAGCCCGACGGTCACACTCGCATTTTTTGCAGTTTCCTTCCGGCGATATCCATTCGGTCGATGGTCCAATAATAATACTTCGTCAAATAACTTTTTTAGACCCATAAAATCACCTTCCCACTTCAATTATATATACAAGATTTGGAGCCCAGTATCTAATGAATGATTTGCATAATCGTAGTACTCATATCTTTCTATTCCTTTTTTGTATTTACATTTTCCGTAAATTGCTAGTGTTTTGGTACAATTTAAAATTCCTGTTCTTGAAGTAATGTTTCCGTTGGATCAATATTTGCAAGTTTATTACTTAGCAACTTGTGTTTAACAACTCAAATGCTAAGTTACCAAGATAATGTTATTCACTTGCTTTGTTTGCATAAAGTATGTTTACCGTTCACTCGCAATATACTACCAATTGCCCGACCAGCGTAAAAAGAATCACACAAGTGAAGCGCAATAAATTCGTGGAGAAAAAGCGAAAAAAAGAGATGCTACAATGCAACCATCAAAGGTTATACCGACCGTCTACGGTTTCCAAATCCGCTGCGCCGCTATTTACTACTTGGTGAAATTTGGCATTCGAATTAGCGACAAGAGGTTATCAGATTCATAAAGTTGACTCATTCAAAGTTGACTCTTTAAGTATAGTGTGCGTCTTGCTCGTTCCCTATATAGGAACAGTTATGTAAGAGATCACTAGTACGTTAGGTGCACGTGACACGTGCACATGCATGATGCGTGCACATACACCAACTCACTAGTCGATCAACGCCTATTATGCGTAGTGCTGTTCAAGAAGATACGTAGCGAGTATACAATGTGTGATAAACTTTATTCATATCCTCATAGGCTGAGTCATAGTTTGCCGTACCATGCGTGTATGGAGAGGTTAAGAATTACGAGTATCTTTATTTTATTAATGAATTTCTGTTGTTTACATGTCTTAATCTTAAAAGTTTTACAAAACAGCCCTGAGATAAATTTGCCGGTAGAGTGGTAGACTCTCTAATAGTTATTCAATAATGGAAATTTTCACTACTGTATGTTCAAAACCGGCATTTTCAATTAAAGTTACATAAAGTAGCAAAATTTGCTAATTCAGACTTTAGCTCTATATTTTTAATCATATTAATTAATAAAAGTAAAGTAATAGTAATATAAAGTAATTTAATAAAAGTAATAAACTTCCACTTCGGAAGGGCGGAAGCGATAACTCCCTGCCAATAACGCTCGGGTGTTACCGCTGGCATAGCTGTAGCCTGATGGAGGAAGGTAGGTGTGACCAAAGTTTGAATATGAACTCGTTGAACTCTTGGCATTGGTCGCAATGTAGAAATCATGTCCTCCCCCAAAGGTTGGTCCGTAACCAATGTTTGTGTAAATAGCGTTACCATTGTTTTGATATACATTAGCTTTGAATGGACTGAGATTGTCTTTGTTACGAAAGGAGAAGACGAAGGAGTTTGAGCTGGATATGTATGATGCACTGGAACCTATTACTGAAAGACATTTTCGGTATAGAATTAGATGAATTACAATTCCACACAAAATTTTATGCGCAATCGGCTTTTCACGTGCGAACTGCATGTTCAAATAATTTCTAAATAATATATGGAACTACGATTGTTCAAATATTAAATGTTGTGCGGCTCGCGCTTCATCGTGTGTTAGCCTAGCGGCCCGGGTATATATTTACGTTTGAGATGCACGACGTTGCTTTAGCTATAGAGCACTAGCAAGACGTAGGAATATGGTTGAATTCTGAATTGGAAATTTTGAAAGCTCTTTATTTGCGCAAACTTTTGATATCGCTTTCATTGATATCGATTTCAGTAAACGGTTAGATATAGTTCGATTCGTAGCTAAATTATCACTCCATTTATTACGCCTTGAAACTGAAGTAAACAGTAAACAAATGCATGCATGCATGCACAACCCTTTATGACACAGACCTGCCAGTAATTAGCCTGCTTCCTCCTCAGAATGATCAGGCTGGTCTATTATAATGGGCGTCTGATGCAAATAGCCAAATACGCTATATGCATGTGTCCACTAAACACTCGGCACTTACTTCCCCATGATTGATCACTGTATCCCCCAAAAATGTAATTTTGAACTTTTACAAGGGTAACAGTTTTTCCAATACCACCACATTGCAAGTGAAAAACGTTCGAGAGCCACCCATCTTCTGAGGCCCGATAACATCGAGTTAAGGTATTAAATGGGATCCACTGTTTGAGTCTTTCCAGAAATTCTGGTGGCTCATTTCTCAATATTGTTGACGCTAAAATGTCTCCTATGAATCAACAAATATATATTTGATACAATTTGGCCATTAATACTATACACATTTTGTGGTTAATTTCGTAGTTATTTCTATAACTATTACTTGCAAGGCCCGCTTTCGACGTCGTTACATTAGATTCAACTTGCGTCTATAGTTTACTGATAAAACGGGCATAACTTACGAGAATGTAGTAAGTTCACCATCAACTCCAGCCTTGTCAGAGTTTCATTGTTAATCCTGAGTACCTGTTTAAAACATTCAATTTGTTGTTTAAAATATTCAATTTCAAGTTGTTATTATTATCATGACATGGATGATAACGAATTGATCGAGATTTCAAAATTGCGATAAATTACGATAGAAGCCTGGGAAAGTGTTTTTTAAATAAATTAGAATTGCGCATGGGATAACCATGAAGAAATCAGCAACAAAACCAGTCTCTTCTGCACTAATTTGCCTTTCATCTATATATATACATAATAACCAAATACATTCTAACGTCTAAAGGTAATGATGCTATACACAAAACAACTTTCAACATCAACTCGCAACGCAACAATATATAAGCATAAATCTAAACAACAATGTTGTGTGGAATAAAAGCAGTTCGTAAACTTTCAACTTGTTTCCAAAACAATTTCTGTGTTACAAACTAGCTCATATATATTTAGCGTTTTCCCGCCAAAATACGCGACATCATAAAAAATCTCCTCTTAATGAGTTCTCTACTGCACGGTAGAAACATAGATTAGAAGTATTTCTTTTGTATTCTTCATGAGTTCTTTATACTGCACGGTAGAAACATAGATTAGAAGTATTTCTTTTGTATTCTTAATGAGTTCTCTACTGCAGGGTAGAAACATAGATTAGAAGTATTTCTTTTGTATTTTGTTTATCAATTATTAATGTCTTTTTGAATTTTTTTTCATACATCCATGTACGCCGAAAATTAATAATAGCAATAAAGAAAAAATTTACCATTTCTTCCTCTGCCACATTTTTCCACGCATCTTTTTTTCTTAAACGAAGAACTTGGCTATCTTTCTGATACGCCAACAAACCAGTAATATGCGGTATTCTATCTTGGGTGACATCATCAGGAACAACTACAATCTAAGATATTCCGTGTTACGCACTGTTCAATTAACTGATATAATCAGTGATGATTTTATTTATTTACTTATTTCTTCCCGATATTGTATTCAAGGCAAATAGTTCTTCAAGTTTGTTGATATAAAATTTTATAGATATATCGTTCGTTCTTCGTTGATCCAGGTTTTCGTGAGTATGATGAAGAAATATCTAGTTGGCGCAAAGTTGGCGCAAAATGTTTTAGAAAGCTCATTGCAATATATGATAATATAATCTATAGTCTGCGCGAAGGTGGCTTACCCCATCATTTAAAATTGCTTTATTTTTTCCACATCGACCCTATATTAAATAATTAAAGTGTAATCAGGTATAGATGAGCATGGTTGCTTACTTGCCAATACAGGCAGGTTCAGGACATTCCTAGTGAAAAAGAGCAACATTCATTTTAAACAATGACAATAGTTATTTCACTACACTTGCGTTCGCTATATTGCCGACGTTTTTTAACAACGTATACCTTCACAGGTGTTTCTCTATCTCCAATCAGCTTATACCATGCTGCGTCACCATTTTCTTCTTCCGTCCTGTATTCCATGCACTTCTCCCAGACTTTTTGCGGAGGATTTAATCGTATCCAAAACCAAGCGTGAGCATCTTTCACAACCGTACCACCGTTCTTAGCCTTGCATTCTCTACCACAATATACTCCATTGCGACCAACTGGACCATAACAGGCACAGCACTAATAATAAAAGGGAAATATAATGTCCATTCAAAATACATTGAATTTTAGCCCAGTGCCGATGATGATATGTGTATATACAGCAAATCTGTTGACTCTACCTTTCCTTTATCACATCCAAAAAATGCAGTTGTACCATCACTAATTGTTTCAGACTGGTTTGCAGCAAGAAAACTGATTAAATATGAATAATAAGAAATGTCACCAAATAAATATAAAATAGCATAAAGGTTTTTTGCGTTCAATGGTAAAATTATTTCAAATGAAATGGAGCATGAGAATTATTAGTCCCAAGCAGATCAAGAATATCTCAGTAGCTAGGCAGGGATATCTTGGGTCTAAGATAAAAACATGAAAGGTGGATGGCAACTATATATCAATTCCCTGTAAAATTTTCCTCTTTTATTCCTATATAACTAAACCTTAAGCTTATTATATCTTCGGCTCATGCTGTCCTATATTCAAGCAATTACCTGAATCCGCCAGAAAAATCAACCTGAACAGGAAATAAGGGATGATATGCAAATCCATGAGGACACGGCTTTTGCAGACAAGAATTCATCATACTCTATAAACAAAGTGAAACATTTTTGTTGAATTTTAATTGGCGAATATTTGCCTGCCAGAATATACCGAACTTATATCGTAATAATTATTTTCGCCTTAATATATTTCTACATGAAGTAATTAATATATATACAATTTTTATAAACGATGTAATATGCAATGCATTTTTATTTTTTTCATCTAGAATTCGCAGTTTTAATGTTTATGTACCTACCCAACCAATTTTAGCTGAAGGATGGCTGTAAACACCAAACACTGAGCATGAAAAGTCTTTTGAAGAAATTTCTTCAGTAATCAGGTCCTTCACATATGAAATATCTCCAATTCCTGGTAGATTGTATGGACAGCCTCCTTCATTTACCATCATCAAATTTGACAGTTGGCGTTTATTTTTAAAACGAAATGACCTAGAAAAATACCCATTGTTAAACGTATTGTAATTGATCGTCATCCCGGACACACTCAACCAAACTTTCTGAATCGACTACTAAAAAAAGACTACTAAAAAGTAATCATATATACATAATGGTAACCACGCTGAAGCACATATATGCTGCTGCTATAGGTATACATTTGAAATAAGTACGTGCTATACGATATAATTCTATATTAGAATGGCGCTGAGCTATACGGGACAATTCTGCTTCCCTTCGATTGTTTTACTATTCTCACCTTGAAAAGGGAACAGCAGGGCAGCGTCTTCAAATGTGGTATAACAACTCAGGGCCCAACCCAAGATTTTTTGCCAGGGAAAGGGGACACAGGCAGTGGGGCACTAATAACTGTAGTAAAATCAATATAGCAAAAAAGAAGATTACAATCCACAAAACTGCCCCTGCATGTTGCAACCCTTGTGTTCGGTCCAATGGCTAACATTTTTGTCTATTTTATTCTTACGTTAATTAGCTTATGCATTGTTATTCGATACCCCTACTGAACATCAACTGATAGTAAAATGCAAAACCTTGGGAAAAGTTGTTGTTGTTTGTCACCCATGAACTGCGTAGTTTGCATTTTGTTTCAATTTCTGAGGAGTGAGGATGATATAAAGCAATAACGCAAATTAAGACGCATACCAGTGTGCTACTGTTTGTGTGTAATCGACGTCAGCCGCAACTTGGACTCTAAAATCCAATATAGGTATATCTCCAAACACGCTTGACCAATGAGGTTCATCAAATGGTCCAACAGTATCGTTGCTTGAGGGTACATTCCATGTAACGCTATTGTTCATCCACCCTATTAATATGTATCCCCCACCATCTGTTGTCATGTCGCACCACACCTGTAAATAATTAGAAATTAATTAAACAATGTAGTTGCCATGCACGTGCTCCTAGTGTAAAATGTGGGTAAAAGTTTAGTCTTATTAACTACCCTGACAAAGGTCCTTTCTTTGCAGACGCTACCATATGCTACTGTCTTGTTATATTAGAAGGCGTTTACCTTTTCATTCCATCGGGCATAATCCAATTCACATAAAATTCCAGTTCACATCTGCTACTAAACGCATGAAGGTCTTGGCATGCACTATTGCATAATTAAAGGCCACTGATTTTACAGAAATGAAAACTCAAAATATTTTTTCAGTGCCCCTTGGAATAGTTATTTCTCTAAAAGATAACAAAATTTAAGGCATGTTTCCCGAATGCTAATTCGACGGTCGTAATGCTGCAATGACTGTAATTGGCTGAGAAAATGGAACAAAAACAGCTCATGAAATGATGCAATTATTGACGCAGCTCAATAACCAATAGAATTGCAGTATTCATACCTCATTACCTCAGAAGGCCTATATAGTTATATATCACTCCCGGATTGGTTCATAAATTGCCCTGTGAACAAACCTTATATGGAACTGAGCGGTGAAAATCAACCCAGTAATAACCGTCCTTCGCTTTTCTGTTTCGAGTCAAGATATCCAAGCAGTCATATCCGGGATTGAAATATTCACCAGGTGGTCTTGAACCTAAAAACACGTATGCATGAAGAATGAAGAATTTGGTACTGTCGTCAAGTTTCGCGCACTAAATATTTACTCTTTGAACCGAGTCCCTAACCGCAAATCACGAAATCCGTTACATAACCGTATATAACCAAGAATTTGGTCAACAGCGCAAGGGACGCTGGAATCAGGGGACCAGCGGCTAAAGCCCTCAAATGCAATGTATTTACTAAATTGAGGTAACTGCAAATAGTTTTCATTCGAGATACATTATTTTGATGCATGACCGAATATTGATATTTTTGGTTGTTTTTACCAAATATGATTGATCAACATTTTAAATTAGTTTTTATAACAATCTGTTTTTACAGAGTATATTATTTTAAACAAAGTGAACGGTCGCTTAAGAAAGCATAAAAATGGCCAGAGGGAAGCCAATAAAATTATAAAATTGTCGTAACTGTTCAGTAACACCGCAAATTTTTGAAATATGATATTTTAAAAGAGAAAATGTATTGTTAAGTATTAATTATTTAGTCTACAAAGTTTCCGCCAAACCTTCCGTTGTCTTCCAACTGTATATTCCTGCATCCTCAGTGCACACCACAATGGTATCCTTGTTTTCACGATCTTTCACCAAGATGAGCTCACCGTGGTTGGATTTTGCGCACGTTCCAGGGTCATGGTAATTACGAACTTTAAGCACTTTTCGCATCTATGTCGAAAGTGTGCAAATTATCTGGAGATTCAATTTCATAGGGTTTTTTTATAGTAGCCATAAAGTTCATGCATGAGTCCACGTATAAGGAATTCTAATCCGTGGTCCGTATATTTCACAGTACAGACCTCACGCTCGGTCAAAAATCAGTCATTAGTGCACCCTCAAGCCGAATACGGATTCATACTTGCAATATTTATAACTTATAAGCGAGCTACTAATGTTATCGTGTTATAAAATCTCATATATCAAAAGCAGTTTTATATTTTTCTCCGTGAAGTTGCTATAATTTTATTTTGCTTGAAGGTCTAGCTGTAACATTTGACAGAATTGCACTTGATTTTCATCATGCAGATTTTACCTTCGACTCGATTACAGGAAGAAATAGAAGTACAATGACCACACAGAATCTTTGACACATCATTTTACCTAAAACCAAAGATTTTGCATGAAGTTGACAATTTTAAATTTCCTGTAAAGCCTGGTTATAGGTACTTCTCAGCTAGGGGTAAATGACGGCCCCTTAGTGTAAACACGGGTTAAATGTTATAGATAATCCTTAAGAAGTTTCTTTTTTAGATTTTTTTAAAAGTAATAAAATTTGTACAAAGTTTCATGTCTTATATAGTCCAACAAATTCCACCCACTATTTAACAGCTCCATAATGGAATGTCTTTTGACCCAATGCAGTTTTAAAAAGTGGGATAGGAAGACTTTGTTTATTACGTGTTAAACGTCCAGATATTTGTTCTTTAAAGACGAATTGTTTACTAAGTTAAATACTCTGGTGCACAGCCTTTCATGCATTTAAAAGCAAATGTGGCAACTCGTAAATATAATTGTTTTTCTATATGGGAAGCCAGCGAAGATTCTTAAGTATAGGCGTTATGTGATCAAATTTTGACACCCTATATATAAATCATATTCTATATGATATATGTATATAATCTGCTTCGCGGGAATGTAATAAGAAATTACGTGTTAAAATGTTGTGCTATCTCAAGATGCTGCCTCGTTTTTAACGCAACGAATTTTGTTTTCGTTAACCATTCGCAATATCATGCAAGTTCTGTTCTTCACGTCGTTTCACGGGAACAAATTCGCCCGTTTCAGTTGGCTGGTCCCAATCGAAAACGCAAATGGAATGATTTCGTTTTTCGCCGCTAAAAAACGCTCGGGCATTGAACCAACCAGGCTTTATATCTTAATGATTTTAGAGATTAATTTTGCTTACCGTAGCTATATCTAATGCAGTCTTCAGAAACCACGTCGATGTGAAAACGCGAATATATCAACAAATGTTGTCGGAAACAAAACCTCGCTGTCTGCCAGATTAGGGCAACGTATAACATATGTAAAGAGTAATATGAAACCGTTTCAGACGACTGATAGCATTTGCAGTCAACGTACAAAGTTCCAGTTTCAATCATCACTCAACATAACTAAATAACTTGCTAATCGACGTTTACTCGACCTAAAGGAATGATTTTGCTTGTGCTTTTAGCCGGAGAATGTTTATAAATGGAAGCAGATGCGCGCAATCGTTTAGTTTTTATCGAGAAACAGAATATGCGTACAGACGTTCAATTTTGATCGCGCAGAATATGCGTGCAGTCCTTTATCTCCGATCACGTTGACAGAATATAGCCTCCTCCGCAGGGTAACATGGATAACACGGAGTCGGAGTTCCGGAGCCGGAGTTTCAGAGTTGGAGTCCCGGAGTCAAAATTACGGAGTCTGACGTTATAATATTGGAAAACACGGAGTCAAAAATTATGGAAAACACGGAGTCTGTTAAAATATGAAAAACACGGAGTATAAATGTTTGGACGTCTGCCAAGCTCAGTGACTCAACGTGAATTATGCAAATTTGATAGCGTGTTGGCAAATTTGATGGCGTCAAATTCGCGTAACGTTTTTGCTATTCCGCAAATAGTAAATAAACGACCGAAAAACTTATCCTTATATTAAACATAAATAATATTCCTCAATTTAAATGGGAGGATATTGTAGACAAAGAGGAAATTGGATGTGGTAGTTTTGGTGTGATTTAAGGTGACTTTGAGCAAGAGGCATTATAGCTATAATCTTTTGTTATTGTGTATTCTTTCTTTTATACTATTACTGTGGTATAAAAAATTAGTATAGACTTATGAGCGATCCTTCATTTATGAATATATGTATAATTTACGTTGACTCCGTGTTTTCCAAACATTTATACTCCGTGGTTTCCATGTTTTTGGCAGACTACGTGTTTTCCATGATTTTTGACTCCGTGTTTTCCAATATTATTACGTCGGACTCCGTAATGTTAACTCCGGCTCCGGAACTCCGACTCCGTGTTATCCATGTCACGGTGATGTGGCAACGTTGAATCAAAGCTAGATATTTATTTCACCCGCTCCTCGTGTTGCAAAATAAAGTCATCCTATTGGCTGAATACTCCCGGCCTGACAGCTCAACATTGCTTCTGATTGGACGAGCATAGTAATTTGAATAATATGATTAATTCTTTCCTTTCATTTCTGATGTTCAGGCTCAGGAGAAGAGAATTAATCATATTATTTAAATTACTATGAACGTCCAATCAGAAGCGTTGTTGAGCTGTCAGGTCTGGAGTGTTCATCCAATAGGATGACTTTATTTTGCAGACACGAGGAGCGGGTGAAATGAATATGTGCTCACTTTGAGACATCATTTCAACGCTGCTCTTCGAAGAATAAAAATGAGTCTCCTCCATGCCAAGTAAATTTTAACAGAAATTGCTATCAGATTGCTATCGTCTTCAGCAGAAGAGAAGTTTAATAGAAGTTTACTATCTCTGACAGACTGTCGTTGGTGTAATATTAGGTAATATGCCTTTCCCTTTGCGTTTTTTATCAGTTTGTTTCATCGTGATTCGTGAGCTTTTGGGCTGAGGTTCCACGTGTCTTTAGTTCACGTCTTGTAATGCCTCTCTTGTGTTGTGTTCAGCTTCAAATACGAACTTGTATAGCACTAACGTAGCTTTTATTCTTTTCATGCAGAATTTTGACGTATTAAAGCGAAGTTAAACGATGAAATTTGTGAGCAAGAGATTGACGACCGATGAATTGTGGCTGAACTGGCTCAAGATAACTCGCCTTTGAAGAGAAAGCAAGTCTAGGCTTTTTCTGGGGAATATTGATGATATGAGAAAGGTAATATACGTCAAATCTTACCGTTGAGCCGCTAACCTTCCCTCTAACCACACGCAAATTACCGTTTGAATTGAGTTCTAAAGACCTAAGCAGTAAACTAATGGTGCCTTTTATTCTTCCAGGTAGAGTTTGAGAGCTTAAAACCAAACTGAATGAAGTGAAGTGGGCAAAAAGTCCGTTACCGTAGCTGAAATTGCCCGAGACGACTCGCATTTGACTCAAGATAACTCGCCTTTGAAGAGAAAGCACGTCTACGCATTTTCTTGGGACTTGTTGATGATATGAGAAAGGTAATATACGCTAAATCGTATGTGAGCCGCTAACCTTTGCTCCAATCGCAAGCAATTACCTTTGAATTGAGTTATAAAGACCAAACCAGTAAACTAACATTGCCTTTTGTTCTTCCAGGTAGAGTTTAAAAGCTAAAACCAAACCGAATATAGAAATGAGCTGGGAAAGAAAACCCATAGCTGAAATTCGCCGAGATGACTCGCATTTAAAGAGACGGCAAGTCCAAAGCTGCTCTTAAACTTGTTGCTGAAATGAACAGGTAATTTGGGGTCTATTTTATTCAAAATAGGATGGGAAAACTTGAAACGCTTGATCAGGCATCACGCGTTCTCTCAACTGAATAATCACACCGCAAGTTTTCTCCCGATATTTAAGCTCCCTTCATCGAAGGTAAATCCTTTAAATTGCTGTCTATAACAAGCATTCTTTTGGTTTTATTGCAGGTAGCGATTTAGCGGGTCAAGCCATTTGAAACAACGACAAAACCTGTTCATAATAAAACGTGAGTATTAAGCAATTAAACATTTTTAGATAAACCGAACAATGGGGAGTTTATGCATGATTCAGGTCAAGAACGACAACGGCCGCATGATAATTTAATATGAATAATGGCAAGGAAATACTTGAAATCCCAGAGAGGTTTTATAAATGTTGTTTTGGGTCTGTTTACAATCCCGATTTTACGCGTGTTTCTTCTCAAAAAAAAAATGTAGTTTGCTTATTTCTTTAATCTTATTTCAGGTTGATGGGCTCTGTTGAGCTATTACCGACAAGCCAAATCGACGGCAAATCTACGCCTAATTTAGGCAACTCGACGGCAAATCTACGCCTAATGTAGGCAACTCGACGGCAAATCTACGCCTAATGTAGGCAACCTCGACGGCAAATCTACGCCTAATGTAGGCAACTTCGACGGCAAATCTACGCCTAATGTAGGCAACCTCGACGGCAAATCTACGCCTAATGTAGGCAACCTCGACGGCAAATCTACGCCTAATGTAGGCAACACTCGCTAATGTAGGCAATCTCTACGCCTAATGTAGGCAACCTCGACGGCAAATCTACGCCTAATGTAGGCAACCTCGACGGCAAATCTACGCCTAATGTAGGCAACTCGACGGCACTCTACGCCTAATGTAGGCAACCTCGACGGCACTCTACGCCTAATGTAGGCAACCTCGACGGCACTCTACGCCTAATGTAGGCAACCTCGACGGCACTCTACGCCTAATGTAGGCAACCTCGACGGCACTCTACGCCTAATGTAGGCAACCTCGACGGCACTCTACGCCTAATGTAGGCAACCTCGACGGCAAATCTACGCCTAATGTAGGCAACCTCGACGGCAAATCTACGCCTAATGTAGGCCAACTCGACGCCTAATATACGCCAAAACTACGCCAAATCGACGCCAAAAAGCAACGTTCAGCGATGCCCGGGCATCGTTACAGGTTAGAGTAGCCTGGTGGTCAAAAAATGTGCATGCAGGGGTTAGTCTGTGCATGATTAACTTAACGAAGTTAACTAATTTAGTTAACGAACTTAAGTTAAATAAAGTTTTAAATTCAGTTAACTAAGTTCTGGCCACCAGGAACATAGCTAATGCATGATGCATGATGCATGTGAGCAAATGTTTCTTAAATTCGGTTAAATATTTTAATCGGTTTTGCGCTTAGGACTGCTCGCTTGTGCTTAGAGCTGCGCTAAGGTTTAGGTTGATAATTTGCTTGTTAAAACTTAAAACATCACAACTGTTATATATACCCATATTGCACAAAAGAAATGGCTAAAAAGCCATACACACTAACACAAATCACAGCCACAAATGGCAGACATAATCCCATAGGTTCTTTCCTCTTTCTCTATCTTGTCCTGATTGAAATCATCTTCGGCTCTTGAAATCCGGTCAATTGCGGCTTTCGGAATTAACATTGTAAAATGATAACTATAGGGTCACTATTCGGTCTGGTTGTATGTAAATTAAATACTGATATACGTTTTTTATTTCTCAGCAAACATTGTAAATATAGATTATATCTTGCCTTACTATATTTTGTAATTGAACATATAATATTGTGTATGTATTTATGAAAAAACATGATTTATATCAAAATATGAACAGATACAAAACATCATGCACTATACCTCATGATCTTGTAGCTGCACATAAAATAGACACGCACACGAGTAAATACATTGATGCAAACCATGGCCTATATAATGGCTTCTAATTTATATATCTTATCTCTTGCATTCACTTAAAGCTACAGTTAATATTCAAGCCAGAAACATTGATTTTACGGCATGTCTTATACTGTCTTGCTATTCTGAAATACATGAATTTATGCAATCAAAGTTAACACACACACATGCTCTCAATTAATGAATTTGAATTTACTTGAAGAAAATAAGGAATGGGTGGGGGGTGCATGCTGTTATCTTGAAACGATATATATGCCTTATTTCTACTATAGTTAGAAACCAATTACGAGACAAACATTGGCAGTGGCATTGTAACTTTATTATTTTTCCAAGGTCTCTGTGAGATTTCCAATCATTTAGCTTCGTCGAGCAGTGCTTATGAAAAGTAAGGCGCCACTTTTTGTCTGTACTGTTTGACTTTGCTATGTGGTTCGAAGTGTTAGCAGGTATCTTGGGATATCTAATAACGTTGCAGTGTTATTTTCATTGCTGTTTCTATAAGAGCAGCTTGCTTTGGCTATATGCCTTAGCTCTAAAAGTTTTTAAACCAGATTTTCAAAAAAAAAATGTACTCCTGTGGCTGTTTCTATAAGAGCAGCTTGCTTTGGCTATATGCCTTGGCTTTGAAAGTATTAGTCCAGTTTCTCTGTACTCTTGGTGCTGTTTCTATAAGGGCAGCTTGCTTCGGGAATATCCCTTGCATGGTTCAAAAAATGTTGACTGAATTTTTTAAAAAAAAATTTACAATTGATGCTGCACTTGGTTTTTACAGTT